TGTGTAAGAGTGTTCCTATTTCTCCACATCCTCTCCAGCATCTGTTGTCTCCAGATTTTTAAATGATTGCCATTCTAACTGGCATGAGATGATATCTCAGTATGGTTTTGATTTGCATTTCTCTAATGACCAGTGATGATGAGCATTTTTCATGTTTGTTGGCCTCATATATGTCCTATTTTGAAAAGTGTCTGTTCATATCCTTTGCCCACTTTTGAATGGGGTTGTTTTTTTCTTGTATATCTGTTTTAGTTCTTTGTAGATTCTTGTTATTAGCCCTTTGTCAGATGGGTAGATTGCAAAAATTTTTTCCCATTCTGTTGGTTGCCGATTCACTCTAATGATGGTTTCTTTTGCTGTACAGAAGCTCTGGAGTTTAATTAGCAATGGGGTAAGGACTCCATGTTTAATAAATGGTGTTGGGAAAATTGGCTAGCAATGTGCAGAAAGCAGAAACTGGACCCCTACCTGTCACCTTACACTAAAATTCACTCCAGATGGATCAATGATTTAAACATAAAACCTAACACCATAAAAACACTAGAAGAAAATGTAGGCAAAACCATCCAGGACATAGGCATAGGCAAGGACTTCATGACTAAAACACTAAAAGCAATGGCAATAAAAGCCAGGATAGACAAATGGATCTTGTTTTTTAATCAGTTCAGCCAGTCTATATCTTTTAAATGGAAATTTAAATTAGTTTACATTCTGGGATATTATTGAAAGGTGAGGACTTATTCTTATCGTTTTATTAGTTGTTGTTGTTGTTTTGGTTAGTGTGTATATTCTTTGTGTCTTTTTGTTTGTCTGTTTATCTTTGAAGTTTGGTGTTTTTTCTGTAGTAACACGGTTTGATTCCTTTTTCATTGAGTATCTGCTCTATCAGTGGGTTTTATATGTTTTCACAATGTTAGTTATTGTCCTTTTGCTTCCAGATATTGGACTTATAAGCATTTCTTGTGAGTCAAATCTAGTGATGGTGAATTCTCTCAGGTTTCACTTGTCAGGGAAACACTTGATTTCTGAAGGATAGCTTTTCTGGACATAGTGTTCTTGGTCAAAGTTTTCTTTTTTTTTTTTTTTTTTTTCTTTCAGCTCTTTGAATATATCAACTTATTCTCTTCTGGCTGACAAGGTTTCTGCTGAGAAATATGCTGATATTCTAATGGAGATTCCCTTATATGTGACTTGACAGTTTTCTATATTTTTTAAAATTCTATCTTTGTCTTTGACTTTTGACAGTTTGACTATAATGTACCTCAGAGAAGAACTTCCTAGGTTGAAACTGTTTGGGGGACATTTGACCATCCTGGATCTGGATGTCCACATGTCTTCAAAAACTTAGAAGTTTTCTGTTATTATTTTATTAAATATGTTTTCTGTGCCTTTTTCCATCTCTTCTCCTTCTTAAATTCCCATAATTACAACATTTGTTTGTGCAATGAACTTTCTTGGATTATTTGGTTTCTTTCTCTTTCTCCTTCCTTCCTTTCTTCTTATCTATGTATCTTTCTTTATCTTTCTCTTTTGTCTGACATGGTTATTTGAAAATACCTGGCTTCAAGTTTAGAGATTCCCTTTTTTCTGTTCGATCTAGTTTGTTATCAATGCTCTCAATTGTATTTTTTTCATTCATTGAATTATTCAGCTCCAAGATTTCCATTTGGTTCTTTTTTTTTTTTTAATGGTATCTATCTTTTTGTTGAATTTCTCATTCAGATAATGAATTACTTTTCTGATCTTATTGTGTCTTGCTGAGTTTCCTTAATAACATTATTGTGAATTCCTTTTCAGGCAATTTCTGCATTTCTATTTCTTTGGAACCAGTTCCTAGAGAACTGTTGTGCTCCTTTAACAGTGAGATGTTTTCTTACTTGTGTTCCTTTAACAGTGAGATATTTTCTTGCTTTTTCATGTTTTTTGAATCCCTGCATTGATATATTCAGATCTCATGAAACAATTGCCTCTTCCAATTTTGTAAAGTGACTTTCACGGGGAAAGACTCACCTGCAGATATGTCCCAGGGTGTCAGTTGGGTAGGATGCATTCGCCTTGTACTGCATAGGTACAAAGCATAGTCTCAAGAATTTCTTCAGCTACAGTCAATGTCCTTGCTGCCTGAGAGTGTCTCAGTTGCTTAGGCTGCAGAGGTTTTTATGGTAGGTCTACCTATTTGGGGTCTGCTCCCTTGTGAATGAGGGAACTGGCTACGCTATTATGGGTAGGGAACCAGGATCATCTGTGATCTGGGGGAAGTGCAGGGCTGGCTGGTCAACCAGCATCACTTCTCAGGCTCTGCCCCCTTGAGGACAGGATTCCAGGCTTGTCTTGACTCTGGGGAAGCAAGGGGCTGGTCAGCCAGCAGCTCAGCTTATATGCTGGCTGCTTCCCTTGAAATTTTGCTTTTTAGTATAGTTAATTTTCCTTGTAGGCAAATCTAGTAAACCTAGGTAATATTTTTGAGGCTAAAAGCTGCGATTTATTAATCTGTATATCTTCAGTGAATAGCACAATGTGTAGTACATAGTAGATGCTCAATTAATATTTACTCAATCTGAATCTCTTTGGAGTATTTGAGGTTTATTATAGGATCTAATCACTGTTCTATTTTGGTATTTCAGTTCTTCTTTCACTTCTCCCTTGCTGTTTAATTTCCTTTTTTTCTTTTTTAATTTTCCTTTGCCTTCCTGCTTTCTTTATTGAGATATATATCACTCTTTCTGTCTGATCAGCTAACTTTAAAAGCATATCTAATTTTACCTTATAAAATGTTATAAACATCAATAATATTCTATAACTTTCTAATTAAATTGTTAACTGTAGATGTACATTTAGAGTAGAGACAAGTTTTCATTTCCCTTTTCTCAATCTACCTATACATTCATTTTCTTAAAAATTCCTTACTAGACCTTGTACCCATGGCTGGAATATGAATTTAGTTCAATGTTCTGAAACCTCTTTGTGCTCCTCTTCCATTTTTTGAGACAAGGTTTCTCTGTGTTGCTCAGACTGGTCTCCAATTCCTGAGCTCAAACAATCCTCCTGGCTTAGTCTCCCAGAATAGCTGGAACTACAGGGGGACACCATCATGCCCGGTTCCCTTCTTTTAACTTTTATAATTTAAGTTTTAACAATTATGCTTATTATTCTTATAAACAAGAAGCCTTTTACAGATGTTTTCTTACATATTTTATTTTTTAATATATTGATATTATAATTTTCACTAATTATTTCCAATAATATTCCCAGTTGAAAATGTCTTTGAAATGTATCTTTCAATGGTTTGGCTCATGTATCTGGTATAATTTTGTAGAAAAAAAAATTGATTAGTAAATGTTTAAAGATCTTTCAGACCTGAAAATAGGAGTTTTATCCAAGTAATGATATATGAATACAAAGGAATGATTTTTATGCAGTTAATAAATTAATATTTATGAAGCTACAGCTTTCTTTCTTGTTTGGGTATCTCTAGAATTATTTCTGTTTCCTTATAATTTAATAATGTTTTGAGGTCATGTCTTTCAGTCACTTCCCAATATTATTTCAGGAAAATATGGTGTTCAAGAACCCACAAATTAAATGGAGACTTCATTTTGAGTCTTGCTTTCATTATTGATATGTGACTATGGACTTAATCTATTTAATTTTTATTCTCCCTCTCTATAAAAGAGGAAACTTATGGTGACTGACTGACCTCTTCTTTTTCACTTGTGATATTCTATGTTTTCTGCAATGTACACCCCATGTACCTTTTTGATTTATTGCTTCCAATGTTTGGGTTCTACTATTATATTTTGATGATTGGTTTTGTGCTTTTGTGCTATTGTTGTGTCTTAATCAAGAAATTTCCCTTTTCAAAGTAGATTGGATTTCTCTGCTCTGTTCTCTAGATCCTCATTTCACTTAATAACTTCTTAGTTCTTCATAATTTTAGATATATTTTCATGTTTATCTTGAGTTGTTTTGGTTTCTGCATTCTCGTTGGGAAAGATAATTTAACAATTAACATTTTCTAGTATCTCATTGCTTTGGTATTTGTGTTGCTAAGTTTTCATGAGACCCATATAATCTTCAGCTTCCTCATTTTTCCACAAACTACAATTTTTATCTTGATACTAAAAAATTTTAATGATATTTAAGAAGAAATATCTGCTACTCTGTTGAATTCCTGTAATCATGGGAAAATTTTTTCCTCTCACATTCTTAAATGTGGTTGCTATCCCTTTCTAGTATACCCCCAAAACAAAACAGTGTTTAATATTCAAAACTGATCATTCAGAGAGAATGCCTACTACAGAGCCTAGAAATCTTTGATCATATATTTCAGTTAAGGAAGTTAGTAATTCTCAGTAGCGTTCAGTACATGGATGCCGGGAACAGTGTCAGATACTGGTTTGCACATCATCAGACATAGTCCCCGAAGCTCAGTAGACTCTGTATATATGTATTGAATGAAGAAGTGACTGCATTCTGCCAAATATTAGCAATCTCTTATTATAATATTCCTTATAAATTATAAAATTCCCTGTAAGTAATTATATGTTACAAAAATATAATAATCATTTTAATCCTTATAACAGATGAGGCAGCAGGGCCCTGTTGTGGAAATATTTTAGAAAATTAAATTAATTTGTGTAGTAGAATTTTATTTTTACTGTGGCATTTCTCAGAGCCTTTAATATTCATTATTAACTTCTGAGATGTGGATATCACTTGCAGCTGTTCCCAAACTTATTTGCCAATGAGTTCCATTTATTTTTTGAAAACCTAATTCCATGTCTAGAAGAACTCTAGTTTCCTTCAGAACCAGTGTGGCTCCACTCAAACCCAAGACCTACCTTATCCAATAATCTTTTAATCTGAACTCCATAGAAAGATCCTTTTTACAAACATACTAGAGATTATTTTGACTTCTCACAATTTTTTCCCATCAAGATGGTAATAAGTTGTCGTTGTTATTCATGCTGTATAATGATTTGGATTAATATTTCTTTTAGGCAAGCTACCAGAGACAATACAGGGATGAGACTCTGTCCCAGAGTGCTGTCCAGGTGTTGGTAGGTGCAGCAGGAAGTGTTGGTGAGAAGAAGGGAGAGTAAGTATATTGTCAAGAGATGGCTTCTATTCTAAGCTACTGCATTTAGGAAATTACCCGAGTTTTCTTGCTTTTGTCTGGTAACTTGGCTTCCTCTGGTATTACACGGGCAAGCTGCTGCCTTCCCTGCACCCCACCCTCAAGGCAAACCACCTATTTTCAGTATCCCAAACTTGCTGCACTCATTCATTCCTCTGTGATTTTGAACACGCTGTTTCTTCTAACTGACACTTTCTTTTGTTCTTATCCTCCGCCTGCCAAAAGTTAAGCTGTGGTAAACAGCTCTTCCTTTTAGACAATTTGAATGCCAGACTAAGTAATGGTGAAGCCTTCCTTAATCCCTCCAGGCACATCTTCCCCAATGCACAGGTAGCACTTAATATTCAGCATACATTTGTAATCTTGTAGTGATTTCTTTAGATAAAGGGCTCCAAAATAAGCAGTGAGTTCCTCAAAGTTGGTGTTTTGGGGAATACCCTCAGATCATCCTCTATGGAGGAATGCCAGATCTATGATAGGGCAAAGAGAGGGGTTAAATTGCGATGCAATTGCAACAATGTCCACCCAAAACCCAGACATACCTTCTAGTTCTAGACAACAGTCCTGAAGACACCAAAATTCCCTGTTTAAATTGTCCAAAGCTTATTTCCAGAGTCTACTTGGCCCTCTACTCCTGGTCCATCATCCCATGAGCAAACTGGGCCTTTGGTGTGCATACCCCTAAACCTAAAGGATATGCCAGCCTTGTGTTAAGTCACACATACAACCTTGTGGTATACTGAAGGGTAAAGTTAGACATTAGAAAAGGAGCAGCCAGAAATTAGGGCATATTTGCATTTCAAGTACAGACTTTCAAAGTAACTAAGAGTTTCATTTTAAGCCTAGTTGTACAAATCATTATGGCATTATGTGTATCATGATAGAAAGATGAAATATATCTTATTTAAAACTTTGTTTCTTGATTTATAATGCTTGAATATTTTCCTCTATGGTACCAGGGTCTCTGTCCTTTTGATCCAGGCCTTCCAATGCTTTAGGTGACCTAGTAAAGTCAGGAGAGTTGAAAGAGAGGGCTGGGAAAATGTGATCAATTCAAAACAATACTATGCATATTTTAAAGAAGAAAGGTGCACATTGTACAGTGGAAGTTTTTTTTTTTTTTTTTTTTTTTTTGAGACCGAGTTTCGCTCTTGTTACCCAGGCTGGAGTGCAATGGCGCGATCTCGGCTCACCGCAACCTCCGCCTCCTGGGCTCAGGCAATTCTCCTGCCTCAGCCTCCTGAGTAGCTGGGATTACAGGCACGCGCCACCATGCCCAGCTAATTTTTTGCATTTTTAGTAGAGACGGGGTTTCACCATGTTGACCAAGATGGTCTCGATCTCTTGACCCCGTGATCCACCCGCCTCGGCCTCCCAAAGTGCTGGGATTACAGGCTTGAGCCACCGCGCCCGGCCCAGTGGAAGTTTTTAATAAATGACACAATGAAAAGCAACATTACTATATTGTCCAGGAGATGTTAATATAAAAATCAAACAATAGGCGGAGAGTGGTGGCTCACGCCTGTAATCTCATCACTTTGGGAGGCTGAGGCAGGTGGATCACCTGAAGTCAGGAGTTTGAGACCAGCCTGACCAATATGGTGAAACCCTGTCTCTACTAAAAATACAAAAACATTAGCCAGGCGTGGTGCATGAGCCTGTGGTTCCAGCTACTCAGGAGGCTGAGACAGGAGAATTGCTTGAACCCCGTAGGTGGAGGTTGCAGTGAGCTGAGATCACGCCACTGCATTCCAGCCTGGGTGACAGGGCAAAACTTTGTCTCAAAAAATAAAAATAAAAATAAAAATAAAACGATATAGAGCAGTTCAGCCCACTGCCTTAATTTGTTTTCTTTTTAAACGTTTCACAAATGCTGAAGCAACATATTGCCTATGAAGACCTAGAGCAAATGGACACAAAGAGAAGATTAACAGTGGGCAGAGGGGCAAAGGGTTGAAAGGACTCTTAGTGGACAATGCAGGCAACTCTGGAAAATATTACATTTTCACACATGTAAGAAATATAGATTAAATACCAATATGTGCAATGCTGTATATTACCAATATATGTCAAGCACTGTGGGAAATATTAATATTAGCAAAATGGTATTCCAGCTCCTAGAGAACTTTCTATTGATTATGCTTATATTCAGTTCTTGATTCTTTGCTGAGCTGCCTTGGAGTTGATTTTGTCATTTGCTAGTTATTCTTATCAATGCCTCATGTGTCGGGGTGACCCATGGCAAGAAAAACAAGTCTAAGAAAAGCACCAGGACCTATGCTAAGTGCTTATATAATTGCCTAAAAAATAATACTTTGAGCACATAGTTTATTTGTATTGAGTGTTAGAGCAGGTACAGTTTTAAATACCTTACATGTATTAACCTATTTTACCTCAGAAAAATTCTATGAGATAGATGCTGTTATTATCTTCACGATGCAGGTTAGGAAAGTAAGGCAAAGAGAAATTAAATAATTTACACAAGGTCATTTGACTAATAAATTACAGGTTGGGATTCAAACCCAACCTGCCTTATTATCCAGTTAAATAGGTCGTACTGTTTTCCTAAATCAGGTCTAAACAGTGAACATGTTGATGTAAAATAGGAATTCAAGAGCCTGAATCACTTACAGTTTGTGCTGTAAAATGTCACACATTATAGATATCACAATAAGACTATATTAAATGCCCATTTCTGTGAGTCCAGGGGGCCTCTTATTTATTATCTCTGTGGCAACACCTACCACATTTCACTGCAATTGGTATTTACATGTTTTATCCCACTAGTCTGCTGGAGCCTTGAGGGCAAACCAGTATTTCTTTATGGTTTATCTGCAGCATTTTATAGCCATAGATGTTCAATAAATATTTTTTCAATTATGAATGAATCAAGTCACATAAACATTCAACAATTTCCATTTATTTACCACGTATTATATTGAATTATAGATAATTGAATGACTATTTTCAATTACATTGGTATCCTAGTAGTAAAAAAAAAAAAAAGTACAAGATTTAAATTAAGAACATTATAATTCATAGAAAGGGCAAGGTTTACCTTTGAACTTAGATATCCAGTGCCCTTCCATTAAGCCACATTATAAGGTAGGGACTCAGACCCAAGGGCAGAGGCTTATTCTCTTTCTGATCATGACGATGAAAGTATCTGGTCAGCAGCAGGTAAATTCCTTGAAAATCCAAGGAGATTGGCTAAACAAGACACAATCACATACACAAATATAAGCTGTCTCAATTAAAAAAAAAAGAAAAAAAAATAGCCAGTAGAAAGCTACAGAAAAATTGGGACAAGTGCTACCAAAATGACATTGAGCTTTTGTCACCAGTGACTTCTCTAAGTTACCATTTCAACTTATTTTTAGTTATTCTAAACCTTATTATCTACTTTGAAAGTAAAGACAAAGAGGAAGATGTGTGATAGAAATTGGATGCTTTATACTTGCTTTCCCATTTAATTGTCTCAGCCTACCATTGGTATTTTATCCTTATTTTGTAGATAAGCAAGCAAGTTAATTAGGTAATTTGTTCATTGCCACACCAGACAATGGGAAATCTAACATGAAAACCCAGATGTCTGAATTCCAAATACTTGAAACATAGTATGTTTTCTCTCCCTGGACCTTGAAATCTCTCTTATTTTCAACCATTTATCTCCGATTTTCAATACTCTGTTCAGAAAGTGAGCCCTACAATCTAACTTCATGAACTATGCCTGTGAAAATGTCTTAATCCAGTCATTATGGCACAAAATAGTCTTTCTGCTTTCTGACAGTACTACATTAAACTTATCTCAAAATGTTTAAAGCATGTATAAAGATTTCTCTCTCTTTTTTTTTTTTTAGATATATGAGTCTTGAGACAATAAGGAATTATTCTGAAAGCAAGAAAACACTTACCTTTACTAGAAAACTACTGCTCAATTGGGTGTATAATACTAGAAAGGAAAAAGGAATCCCATCAAAGTAAGTGCTTTGAACTGTGTAAGAAATGCTATTATATTGACTTGAAATGCCCTGTTTATTTCTGTTAAAATTATACTCTGAATATTTAGCAAAATATTTCGAGGAATTTTAGAGCTCAATTTTTAAAAATTTTGCATATTTCATTATTTGAGAAGTGGCCTTAGAAAATGCTCATAACATACTTAAAGTAAGAAAACAAACATTCTATGTTAACAAATGCTATTATATTCACTTGAAATTCCCTATTTCTGTTGAAATGGTATCCTGAATATTTTGCAAAATATTTTGAGAAATTTTATGACTCATTTTTTAAAAAAAATTTGCGTATTATTTGAGAAACGGCCTTAGAAAATGCTGATAAACATACTTAAAGTAAGAAAACAAACATAATCTGTGTGAACAAATTAACTTTTTATACGTGTCACTAAATCAGCCATCACACTCACCACAAGTTTTGAAATCACCATATATTGTTAGAGTTATCATAAAAATCGAAGGAGATTATGGCATAATCTAAGGAGAAAATGATCTGGCCAATATCTACTGTAAACCTTAGCTACATCCTTTTAATTTTTTATTGTTTAAAAAAAAAAAGTTTTTTTTTTTTCCTATCGTTACAGTTGATTTAAAGCCTTGAAGTGGGTGGTACCCACCTCAGAGCAGACTGATGAGTATAATAGGGTATAATGGCTGCAGAATGTTTGTTAGAAATGTGAGGGTCAGCCACCACCCTAAGTTTCTTATGTACATGCATGAAGTTATTTAAAGAATAAAAAAGATAGGAATAATATCTTCTTTTTGAGGTAAATTTAACATACATAAATTAACCATTCACCATTTTAAAGTATATAATTCAGTGTTATTTACTAGTCCAAAAGTAAACTGGGTATTCATTAAGCAGTCATTCCCCATTTTCCCTTTCTGCCATTTCCTGGAAAGCACCAGTCTGTTTCCTGTCCCTGTGAATTTACTTAATTGAAATGTTTCACATAAATAAAAACATCACCATGTAGCCTTATGTTTCTGGCTTCTTTCACTTAGCATAATGTTTTCATCCACATAGGTGGAATGTATTAGTAGCATAAGGATCATCCTCTTTATAGCATGTATCAGTATGTGATTCCTATTCAAGGTTGAATAATATTCCATGGTAAATATACCACATTGTATTTACCCATTCAGATGATGGACATTTGAGCTGTTTCTACCTTTTGGCTATTATATATAGTGCTGCCATGAACATTCATGTGCAAGTTTTTATTTGAATACCTGCTTTCTATTCTTTTAGGTATATCCCGGGGTAAAATTACAGGACTGTGTGGTAATTCTATATTTAGTTTCTTGAGTAACCACCAAATTGTTTTCCACAGCTCGTATGTAATTTTGATACCAGGAAGTATATAAGTACTTCAACTTTTTCAAGATTGTTGTAACTAGTTCTGGTCCCTTAAAATTCCATTATCTAAATTTTAGATTATCTTGTCTGTCTGCAAAATAAAAAGGTCATTGAGATTTTTATAGGATTGAACTTAATCTGTAGATTTCTTTGTGTAGCATTGTCATATTATCAATATTAAGCCCTCCAGACTATAAACATGGAATGTCTTCCTATTTATTTGAACCTTTAACTTATATTGATAATGTTTTGTTTTCAGCATGTAAGTTTTAGGTTAACATTAATCTTAACTATTTTGTCCTTTTTGGTGCTATTTTAAATAGAATTATTTTCATAATTTCATTTTCAGATCATTCCTTTCTAGTATATAGAAATACAACTGATTTTTATATATCGATCTCTTTTCCTGAAAATTTGCTATTTTGTTCATTAGCTCTAGTTGATTTTTGCAGATTGTCTAGGATTTTCTGTATATAGAATCATGCTATCCACAAATAGACATCATTTTACTTCTTCCTTTTCAATTTGAATTTCTTTTTTTTTCTTAGATTCAAGAGAAAGGAATATAGCTAGTGACAAAATAAATGAGATCAGTGACTGCAAATTTAACCATAAACTTAAGCCAGGTTAACCTCCAGTGCCATGCTGTGCCAAACATGGTTTTGCTGCTGGAAGAGAAGGGCAGAAGGGTTACCACAAAGTTAACAAAGCTTACACACTCTGCAGCTCCCATCACAGGGGAACTGCCAGAGGCCTTGGAGGGCCCTGGCAATGTGAGCACAGATTATATATTACTGCATTCGTAATTTCATCATCTTTTTTTTCTAATGGGACACAAAATTGTAAAAGCTTATGGGCTATGGCATAGATCTATCTTTGAGAATGAGATTATGATCTGCTACTTACCCAGTCTTCAATCAGCAATTAATCATTGTAATTTGAATTTTAACAAAAATAGTGTATTATTATACTACTTGAATAATTAAAAATAGAATCAAAATATTAAAATTAAATCCTTATCTACATTTCTACTCTCCATCATACTGAGTTTGGAAGCTATTTTTCAAAGCATATACATTAATTTAAATTTTGTGATAAAATTTGGATTCATCCATTCCACTATCATGCATCCTAGTCTTTGATCCCGGTTTTATACCTTGACAAGAGATGAATCTCATAATACATTGTTAAAAGGGAAAAAAGCAGGTTATATAAAAATGTGTGTCATATAATTTCTTTTATATTTAAGGATAATCATTTTATAAACGTAAGAAGTTGGAATAATATTCAAACTGATAGTAGTATTCATCTCTGAAAATTGGAATTATCAGAAGGTGGAAAGGATTCTCTTTATTTTAAAAAATATATTTCCAGTTTGAATTTTCCTTCTGTTACACCAAAAGTATTTATATTAAAAGTAAAAAGAAAAAGTGAGATTTAAGGAAGGAAAGAAAGAAAAAGGAGAAACTAGACTCAAGACAGGGGAGGATCAGTGGAGGAAATTCAAAGGACAGTATCTGAAGCAGGATGCCAGAATGTGTTAGCTAGTGGTGGCTGCTTTCAGAATTAAGGAGGGCTCTGCAGCTGTTGATAACTAAAACAGAAATGAGTATATATGAAAATCATTTAATGCAAACCTTTTATCAGATAAAATTGTATTTTTGTTTTACAGATACTTCTTTTTTCATATATGCCATAAAATAGTATTTTCTGAGGAATTTGAGTATGTTGGATACCTTGTGGTACTAACAAATATGTTTCCTATTATACTCTCTTGGATACCCTGGTTAAATGAAATCTACAGCAGAGAATTAAAACTCAGTAACTACTCTTTTCTTACATATTATATTCTAGAGGCACTACTTAAGGTAATCTAAAATTTATGTGTGTATGAAAATGTTATATGTCTGACAGGATTTCCAAGCCTTGTTTTTCAACACTAGCAACAGTTTTCTGAAAGAGTGTATGAATTTCTTACTCACTTCTCCAAACTTTAACTTTTGGAAGTAATTTTTAGGGCAACTCAACAGATAATATGCATACTTGAAGCACTGATTTGTGTTCCCACAAATAAATTTTAAAATTGTGTGTGTCAAAGGGACACAAAGTGAGTTTAAAAGTTATTGGCAATGTTCTTTGTCTTAGCAACGTGGTAAGTACTTGAATGTTCATTTTATTATTTTTATATTGGATAGATATTTCTATATCTATCTAGCATAATAGGGGAATACACAGAGTTCAATGGGGACAGGAGTTTCTTATGCAGAATAGTAGCATCAGAAAAGGAGGGTTTTCAAGGGAAAGAGATCATTGAGTTGAATTTTGAATAATGTCTAGGAGCCAAAAAAGAGAATGAGTTCATAGCATAATAAACAACAGGAGGAAGGGAAAACGTAGAAGCAACACCATGACACATGTAAGGAGCACCACTCCCAGTGACTGAAGCTCAGGAATTGGGTTGGTCAGAGTGGAGATTGGTGAGATGGTAAATATGTTTTCAGAATATGGAAAATGAGGGAGGAGACAAATATGTGAATTAAATAATAAAGGGCAGGCCATGCTGTCTCATCGACTTTCCTGACATCAACTGTTATTCATAGTCTAATGACTCCCAAATTCATGTCCCTAGCTCAAATTTTATCCAGAGCCTTAGATCACATAGGCAGCTGCTGACTGGATCCCTCTGACAAAATACTGTGCAAACATCCCAAGCAGCATATTGAAAGGAAATCTGTCTTTTGTAATCCTACTCTCCCTTCAGAATTTCACTGGAAACCCAGTTTCCCAAGATGAAATCTACAGTCATCTTTGAAACCTCCCCCTCTCTTAGCTTTAATAGGTTTCAAGAAACCATTTGTGAAATATACAGAAGGACTGACTGTAGGAACTATCACAAAATAGTAGGTATTTTGAATATTTTTTCCCTTGGAATAGATGCTTCACTATTTTAGCCATTGCATTTCAAATTAGTATGATCATTTATTCATATAAATGTATATTTTAACATATCTAAATTCAAATAATTATTTTAACAAGAAAGATGTTATGACATTAAACACTATAGATACCACAATTGTGACTATTCGCCACAATTCTGGAAAGTTTAAAAAGTGTTTTTCCAGTATTATAAATTTAGCAGATCAGCTAATTGTTAGATAGTAGTTACGTGAGATAAAATATGTGGGTACAAATACTGGATCTAAAATATTCACCTATATTTCACTTTAATAAAATGAACTGCTTCCATATTTGTATTCTACTAGAAATGTCATATTTAACTAGAAACCTGCCTCAACTGTCTTCAGTTGGCCTTCAGCTAGCCCTGAGCAGAATTGCCAGAAAACCTTTTTCAATTGCTGATTCAAGTCAATGAAATCTGTTTTCAGAATTCAGACTAAGTTATGGTATTAATGCCTTCAAGTTAATGTAGTGAACATAAGGAAAGAGAAGGAACTATGTATTCTACCTGGTTTTATGCCTAGCAGTAGGAGAATTGTAAGTGCTTCAATTCTATTATTTTCTTTTGAGTTGCTTCTAAAAAGCCACCCTTTTTAGGGATTCTAAAAGAATGTTCTCTGAATCAACAAATATTCTAGTTGTCCTTACTGGATCTCTAGATATGTGAGGAAGAAAATAGGGGGGAAACGTAATATACCTTTTATAAAAATGGCAAAAGCAATTTCTCAGCTGGCAACTATCTGATTTAAAAGACTGTCAAGTTAGTGGATCTGTGTAGAATCATCCTAATAAGCTATTCTCCCTCTAATGTAGGAATATATGATTATGAAAGAAAACATACATAGAGAACTTGTGATATGAATTTATTTCAATGTTTATGTGTTGATAAAGCCTTGTTAGCTCTGCAAATATATTCACTGAGATAAAAGGTTGGTGCAATTGCAAAGGTAATTCTGACAAATAATATTTACTTCTACTTAGATTTTCCTAAAAATTTTTTTCTTATAAATATAAGAAAAAATAACTTATTCTGCCTTATCCCAGAATGAAATTATACAAGTGAATTTAGTGAAGAAAGCATAATCTTTGATAAATAAATTTTTAAATCTTGAACTACTTTAATGAAAACTTTGCCTACATGTGTCACAACAAACATAAACTAATTTTGTCTTGATTACTCAGAATCATCATTTTGGATATAAATTATACTAAAAAATGGAATACAACCTCCAGGATTTTTATGGCATTTAAGACTATTTGTTTTAAATTAGAAGGCCCTGCCATACTTTATTTTTGTTTAAATTTGCCTTTCTATTGTTGCCACTTTTTACTGGTGTCATTATGTAAATGTGTTTCTTTTCATCTATACCTGTTCTTTAAACCCAATCCTAAACTAATAGTCCTAGGAATATTCCTTTACTACAGGATAAATCTGATGGTCTTGTTTGTTTGATTTTGGTTTCCTGAGGATATTTCATACATGTGGAGTAGATAAGAGAAAAACCTAACATGATGTTTAAATTATTGTGGAAAATGGTGTAGTAAAAGCAGAAACAAACATGATAATGTAATTTCCTTTTAAATCAACAGATAGCAGCAATGAGGAAGGATTTTTTTTCACATGCCTGGAGCCTATTTGAGTCAGCAATTACATTAATTGGCATCTTAAATATAATACTTGATGAAATAGACACCACTAAGTATATTTCTGATGTGACTCGAGTAAAGGTCTTTATAAAAGTTGTTCTATTTTTTCGTATACTACGCATTTTCAAGGTAAAGAACAAGTCAGTCGTTCAATTTCCAATTCCTACTGCTTGTTTCATAAAACATAGACTAAAATCAGTTTACTAGTTTTATGGCTGCCATTTTCTGTTGGGCTAGTGTTTATATTTTAAATTTTAGCTCCCTTTGACAAATTAAGTTTTATAACATTTTATATTATAAACATCCAAATTATTTTAGGAATTTGTTTAGCATATGAAAGTATACGAATACTTATCACAACTTTTCCTTTAAATAGAAAAGGAAATTCTATATTAATGTAAGTATAAGTTATACTTAATTACATAATTCTGTATTAATATAAGTTAACCTCCATGAGAAATTCTATAGTAATGTAAGTATAAGTTAACCTCCAAGTAATGTTTATGTTTATAGATATTTGGGGAATAAAAGATGGAAGTTAATAAAACAGCCATGCAAACTTTAGGGACAAAGAAAATAGCCTACATTTATACAAATCAAAGAAAAATACAATTAGTATTATAGAAATATCATTTCAAAAATAACCTTTGATTGTCTAATAACATGTTTCTATAATAAATATTATGGGTGATTTTTTCAATGACATGAAACTCACTCCATCACAAGCTAGTATATATATGAATGCAGATACAGTCACTCTTTCCTATCTTTTTCTCTATTCATACACAAACAAGATACATACATATGCAAGCACTGTGACAGAGTTAAATAAAACATAGTTCATATGAGATAAAACTCATAGAATCTTTACATTTAGATCTTTCTTACACATGTAAGGAATAATTTTAAATATTTTTGCTACTGAGAAGTGTAAATCAACTAAGTCAAAGAGTACACAACTAATAGCCTGCTTTTTCAGTATTCTAAGGGACTGTAAGTAGTGCTAGAGTGTAATATGACCTGAGGAAGGCAAGTCTAGTGTATTTCATTGATAAATTCTTTCTGATAGGAAGGTATACAGAGCCTAACAAATAGTTTAGATGAAGAAACCATAAGCCACCTAAGAAAAGTTTGTTGATATATTCAGGAAACTCTGAACTATGGTCTTATGTTAAATCACAGGTCCTCGGAATATGAAGATGAATTAGATATTGTCTATTCCCTTGGAAAGCTTATTGTAGAAGAGAAATCACAAGCAATCTAGATATTCCACTGTTATATGGTAGGATAAGTGCAAAACAGGAGTATGCACAGAATGCTGGTGAGATAGAAAAGACTTCCTTTATTAGGCGATACGTGAGCTGAATCTTGAAAGATGAGTGTAAACCCTTTGGAATTAGTGGCAGGTAGTTGGCGGGTAGAGTATGGAGGTTGTGAAACATAGATTAAAAAAACAAAGGGATCAGTAAACTCTGCAGAAGCTACGGGACTCTGCAATGGTAGCCGATAACCTGGAGACTTCAACCCTCAGCAAAGAAACACGGAGAAGAGGTTAATTTTGGGGTTTAAAAGGCCATATGATTGTGGTAGTTTCTCACCTGACCAGACCATCTAGTAGGAAGTGTTACAGGAGATTTAGCTTGCAAAAATGACAGTAATTTAGTCATTGTATGACCTAAGCACAGATGATTGTGTTGTTTTCCAAGAATTTAGCTGAAAATAGCATCCAATTCTCTATAAAGAAAATAAGTGAAGAATAAATTTTACATAGGTGCCCCCAGATTATTAGTTACAGGGAGATAGCTGCAGTCATGAAGTTATAAAAACACCACTAATAAAATAACCAAGAGTCTTCACAGGTCATTGTACTTATCTTTGAGGGTACTTAATTTCTTATTATTAAATATTTTGATGAAACTAATCAACATATTATAAAATGATATTTGTAAAATTTATATTAATGGTAGGTCTGTTTAATTCAGCTCATAGCACCAAGGTTGCTGCAGATAATAGATAAAAGAATGAGTCATCAGCTGACCTTTTGGTATGCAATACTAAAAGGGTATGTCCAAGGCGAAGCAGACATAATGACTATAATTGATCAGATTACAAGTTCTAAACAGATTAAACAGGTAAGAAAACCTTAAATACTAAGAAAAGAGTTCACTCAGTCCTCAGTTGCCCTTATCCATCGTGTTCTCTGTTCATATATGCAAATGTCTTTGAATCCTGGTTTGCTAATTAATTTCTTTAAAAACTTAAACTAAGCTACATTGAAATTATTCAAATGCCTTCTTCTGAAATGACCTGTGCCATATTAGTGAGTTACAAGGCTCACATAAGGCACCTTTCTGTCTTTGTGGAGGCTATGAGGAAACCCATGTGCAGTAGTCAGCTTTCTCCCAGTGTAAGCTCTAAGATCTGTCAGGCTATAGATGTGTAAAATAGGAAGTATTGGAAGGTGTGAATTGAAGGCAGGGTGGAGAAAACAGGGCTTCCTCATAATGCCCACAGGATTCTTTCATCTCTATCCTTGTTTTCTACACATTAAACAGTAAAGGAAATAAAAACAAGTGATTTGGCAAATAGAAATAAGGTAAACAATAATTAAAATAGAGGGAAACCTTGTTTGATTTTGTCATTATGTAAATGAGAAAAATGAGGCCAAGAGAGGTTAACTGATTGTGCCCAAAGTTCCATAGTAAGCAGCAAAGACAATCCTAAGGCCTAAGTTCTGTATATTATTTTTACATTTTAGATTGAGGCAGATTAATACTTATATGTGCCCACAAGTTTGTCAGCTATGTGGAATTCAATATTTACTTTTCCAAGACAATTTAAAACATTTCAATGCTATATTTTATGTGCCCAAAACTTTGTCCTTGAGAAAATTGAACATTCAATATGTGATAGAACACAAAATGTAATATCTTCCTCTCTTCACCTCCTGGAACTTTAAAACTATTTTCTTATGTTTCATTACCTTTTCTAACCACTGTTTAGCACTTAAATTTGGAGATACACAGGAGATAATACTAAAGGACTTGAGTCCCTAAAATATTGTCGTATTAGCCCTAATTTCCTCTTTCTTTCATCTTGGCCAAAACTTCTACCCTTAAGGTTGAAAGCCATCCTGACATCCCAAATTTGGGGGTTCTCATAAAGTAGAATGGGAAAGTATGTACTGTGCCTGCACTTTTCAGAACCATGACTCACTTTCAGACTTCTCAAAATCAGCCTAGATTATACCTCTTGTCTTCTCTATCACTCTAGCTGAAGCAAAAAGTGCTGCAGCACAAAATTCAATTCGAACCCATGAAAACCTCTCCATCATATTTTTTTTTTAAACTGTTAGGTTAAAAAATCCATACATTGTAAATGTGAGGACATTTTATAACAATCTGTTTTTCCAATGCGGATAACATTTCTTTTGTTCCTTAGGTGTTACTAAAGCGAGTGATAAGGAATATGGAAGATGCTATGAAGGAGCTAGGTAAGTAGCTCTCATCCTATTTATCATGACCATCTGTTATCACCACCACTTCAGAAAGGCAGGGGTTTTCATAACTCGAACTAATCTTTGAGGAAACCTACTCACTAGTAATACTGAAGTGAGTAACTTCAATACTCAATACAATCTTATTTTCTAGTTGAGATGGAAATAGTGTAATAGCTCTTCACACTTTCTTTCTCTGCTTTATACAACAATGAAGGCCTTTTGATTTCTCTTTCGACAAGTTGGCATGCCATGATTACATATGTCATTATAGTCTTAGAAATTCCATTTTTTTTTTCCAAATGAGAAATCCATGACTTTCCTGAGTGACAAAAGGAAAGAAATGACTTTTTTTTAGGCCGGGTGTGGTGGCTCAAGCCTGTAATCCCAGCACTTTGGGAGGCCGTGGCGGGTGGATCACGAGGTCAAGAGATCGAGACCATCCTGGTCAACACGGTGAAACCCCGTCTCTACTGAAAATACAAAAAATTAGCTGGGCATGGTGGCACGTGCCTATAATCCCAGCCACTCAGGAGGCTGAGGCAGGAGAATTGCCTGAACCCAGGAGGCGGAGGTTGCGGTGAGCCGAGATCGTGCCATTGCACTCCAGCCTGGGTAACAAGAGCGAAACTCCGTCCCAAAGAAAAAAAAAAAAAAAACAAAAGAAATGACTTTTTTTCCTCTGCTTGCCACAGAGCTGCCATTTAAGGATTTAGGTCTTAAATGCGTTGAAATCAGAATAAAATCTAGCAGAATTCTCTTATATTTGCTGGGAGGCTGAGTGCCAAACATGGCAGTTGCCTGTTCTCTGAATCATGCCAAGTCATGCTCCTGGCGCAGGACAAATCGTGAGAGTGGTACAGTCACACCCCAACAGTATAATGTTCATGTGTAGGAGGAGAAGAAAATTTTATACCAGGTGATGGGCTACAAAAGGACCACAGAAAACCTGGAAATGAGGTCATTTGAGAGCTCTTCTATGACGGATAGTTACCAAGCCAGATAAGAGGTTATGATCAAAGAAAAGCCCACATGTAGACTCTAAGATGAAATTTCATGGACATCAGGAATCCAGATGAAACAGGTAGAAGAGCATAGATGTATGAGTCTTCTAGATGCACTGGCAAGTTGAGTGGACAGTGACCTATGATGAGTGAGAGGAATTAATCCGAAGCTGTATTTAATCATACCATCTGTAGTTAAAAAGTCTGATTCACACAGAATAAGAAAGTGGGTCATGAACTCCAGACATATAGCCTTGAGCAGGCTCCCAGTGTCCAGTGCAGGTAGAAAAGTGTATACCTGTTAATCTGAGAAATGAGGCTACCTATCCTTCTCCACGGACATAGGCACAAGTATGAATGCTGCCAAGAAAACATCCAGCAGAACTCTGGCACTACTAGTGAATTTTGATTGATCATAGTGGCCCCTTCAGGAAAAGATACATTTCTCTCTGTTGAGGGTGGTATTCCATGGGTTTAGAGCAGAAACATTAGCTTATTGTCCACATGATACTTTTACATTAAATAAGAACATTGTTTGAAATGTTTTTTGTTTTTTTTTAGGCTACTTAGAGTATGATCACCCAGAAATTGCTGTCACTGTGAAAACGAAGGAGGAAATTAATGTTATGCTCAATATGGCTAAGGAAATTGTTAAGGTTTTCAGGTTAAATGGAATTATTCACAAAACTGAAGCTGCTGAAATTAATAAGGTAAGGCAAAATATTTTCAAAGCAGATGTGCTTACTTGATGAATAATTATTCATGACCTTCAAGCCCACATTTGACTTCTAATACAAGCCATTCCTGAGATAGGAAAATCTCACTTAAAATAATGGTCTAAAGACAAACTCCGATTATAGACAATTTCCTTCCTGCAGCCAAGGTGGTCAGCTTCTCTTTTCATTATTGCTACACTAACCACCTCTTTCTCTGCTTCACTGTCAAACCAAGAATCTGATGAATCTATGATTCATCCTAGATTACAGTGGGTATTACTATGTTTGGGGAATTACTTGTAACACTGAAATAATATTTTTCTTGTAAAACATGATTTATGAGAACACTCAGTTGTAGGGTTAGTGTCGACTATATTTCCTTGTTCTAAGTTACATAAATGGTACTACGACATATAAAGGATAAAAAGAATCCCAATTCATTCCCTAAGTACAAAGTTGACACCAAAATTGTAAATAGCATAAGAAAAAAAAAAAGCATAAAGCTGTTATACTTGTAAATACACATACAAAACTTCTTAGCATAATAGTAGTGAACTGAATTGGATAGCGTATTAAATGTGTAATATACTTTGTCTTGGTAGGTTTTATCTCCCCAAACAGCTAAGCAACTCACATATTAAGAGATGAAGAAGAAAAACCATTTGATAAAATTTAACCCTCATTCAGAATGTTCAAAAAAAACTCAGAAGACTACTAAGAGTAGGAACATCCTTAACCTGATAAATAGTGTCTATTAAAAATTTGTAGCAAACTTGGTGTTAGATAGCAAAACATTAAGAGCATTCTTATTAAAGTTAGGAACAAAAGAAGAATGACAAGTGGCATTCCAACCATTGAATGACTATGCTGGAGGTCTTATCCAAGTCAAGAAAAAAAGAAAATTGAGAGATGAAAATTTTGAAAGAGGAGTAAACTGCTATTATTTGTTGACTGTTTAACTTAAAATCTTAGGGAGGTAACCTAAAAGCAGTAGGATTCATAAAATAATTCAATAGAGTATCCAGAAATAAGAGTAATATATAACATTCTTCTCTAATGGAAATATTTAGAAAATAAGTAACACCTAGGCCAGGTGCGGTGGCTCAAGCCTGTAATCCCAGCACTGTGGGAGGCCGAGGCAGGTGGATCACGAGGTCAAGAGATCGAGACCATCTTGGTCAACATGGTGAAACCCCGTCTCTACTAAAAATACAAAAAATTAGCTAGGCATGCTGGTGCATGCCTGTAATCCCAGCTACTCGGGAGGCTGAGGCAGGAGAATTGCCTGAACCCGGGAGGCGGAGGTTGCGGTGAGCCGAGATCGCACCATTGCACTCCAGCCTGGGTAACATGAGTGAAACTCCGTCTCGAAAAAAAAAGAAAATAAGTAACACCTATGTGGCAAGAACTAAAAAATTCCTACTGGATACATGTTTCTGTCGAGTAGGGATTAATAATCGTTTTCTATAAAGGAATACCTAGTAAATATTTTAGATTATGTGAGCCATACGGTTCCTACTACTAATAATAAATTCTGCAATTGTAATACCAAAACAACTACAGACAACATGTAAATAAATAGGGATAGCTGAGTTCCTCACCCTAAAAAAAGTACTATTTAAGCAGGAGTTGGCCTGCAGGCACTAGTTGCAGATCAAAAAAAACATGATCCAACTATATGCTTTTTCTTTGAGAAGTTGGATCTCTACATGCAAAATAATAAAATTGGACACTTAACTAATATCATATACAAAACATACCTCAAAATAGATCCATGACCTTTATGTAAGACCTAAAATTATCAAACTTGTAGAAGAAAACAGGGTTAAAATTCCAAAATACTGGATTTGACAATGATTTCTTGGAAATGATGCTTAAAGTACACACAACAAAAAATATAAACAAAGTGCATTTCATGAAAATTTAGAACTTTTGTGGATCAAAAACCACTAGTACAGAGTAAAACAATGACCCACAGAATGTGAGAAGTATTTGCAAGCCATGTATCTTATATAAATTAATACCCAAAATATATAGAGACTCATAAAACTAAACAACCCGATTCAAAAATGGGCAAAACATTTGTATAGAAATTTCTCTAAAGAAGATACTCAAATGGCCAATATCATGTGAAAATATAATATGTTTGACATAATTCTACATTAGAGAAATGCAAACCAAAACTACAGTGAGAACCTTAAATGTAAATGGGCTAAATGCCCCAGTCAAAAGACACAGACTGACAAATTGGATAAAAAGTCAAAACCCATCAGTGTGCTGTACCCAGGAAACCCATCTCATGTGCAAGGATACACATAGACTCAAAATAAAGGGATGGAGGAAGATTCACCAAGCAAATGGAGAGCAAAAAAAAAGCAGGAGTTGCAATCCTAGTCTCTGATAAAACAGACTTTAAACCAACAAAGATCAAAAGAGACAGAGAAGGGCATTACATAATGGTAAAAGGATCAATGCAACAAGAAGAGCTAACGATCCCAAATATATATGCACCCAATACAGGAGCACCCAGCTACGTAAAGCAAGTTCTTAATGACCTACAAAGAGACTGAGACTTTAACACTCCACTGTCAATATTAGACAGATCAATGAGAAAGAAAATTAATAAAGATATCCAGGACTTGAACTCAGATCTGGACCAAGCAAACCTAATAGGCATTTATAGAACTCTCCACCCCAAATCCACAGAATATACATTCTTCTCAGCACCACATCACACCTACTCTAAAACTGACCACATAATTGGAAGTAAATCACTCCTCAGCAAATGCAAAAGAACAGAAATCATAACAAGCAGTCTCTCAGACCACAGTGCAATCAAATTAGAACTCAGGATTAAGAAACTAACTTAGAACTGCACAACTTGATGGAAACTGAACAACTGGTTCTTGAATGTTGACTGGATAAACAGTAAAATGAAGGCAGAAATAAAGATGTTCTTTGAAACCAATGAGAATGAAGACACAACGTACCAGAATGTCTGGGACACATTTAAAGCAGTGTCTAGAGGAAAATTCATAGCAACAAATGCCCATATGAGAAGCAAGGAAAGATCTGAAACTGACACCTAGAGGAGCAAGATCAAAAAAACTCAAAAGCTAGCAGAAGACAAGAAATAACTAAGATTAGAGCAGAACTGAAGGAGATAGAGACAGGAAAAAAAAAAAAAAAACCCTTCACAAAATTAATAAATCCAAGAGCTGGTTTTTTGAAAAGATCAACAAAATAGACCTCTAGCCAGATTAATAAAAGAGAAAAGAGAATAAGCAAATAGATGCAATAAAAAATGATAAAGGGGATATCGCCACAGATTCCACAGAAATACAAACTACCATCAGAGATTACTACAAACAACTCTGTGCACGTAAACCTGGAAGAAATTGATAAAGTCCTGGACACTTGCCTCCTCCCAAGCCTAAACCAGGAAGAAGTCGAAACCCTGAATAGACCAATAACAAGGTCTGAAGTTGAGGCAGCAATTAATAAATAGCCTACCAACCAAAAAAAGCCCAGCTCCAGATGGGTTCACAACTGAGTTCTACCAGACATACAAAGAGAAGCTGGTACCACTCCTTCTGAAACTATTCCAAACAATCCAAAAAGAGGGAATCCTTCCCAAATCATTTTATGAGACCAACATCATCCTGATACCAAAACCCAGCAGAGACTCGAGAAAAGAAAACTTCAGGCCAATATCCATGATGAACATAGATGCAAAAATCTTCAATAAAATACTGGCAAACCCACTGCAACAGCACATCAAAAAGCTTGTCCATCACGATCAGGTAGGCTTCATCCCAGGAATGGAAGGCTGGTTCAACATACCCAAGTCTATAAATCTAATTCATATTTATTTACATATAATGTACACTTGCATGGCTATTCCACAATTTATATAACCATCTCCAACATAACTATTAAAGGTAAAACAATAAACTTCTAAAAGGTGATATAAGAGAATTTTCATGACATTGGCATAGGCAAAGATTTCTTAAATAGGAATACAAAATTGGATTTAAATAACATTAAAATTAAGAATTTTTCTTCATTAAAAAATTTAAGAAAATTAAAAGATAGTCCACAAAGAGGTAGAGGATATTTGCAAGATAAATATTTCCAATGAAGAACTCATATCCAGAATATACAAATCAATGAGAACAAGACAGTAGGTTCATTTTTTTAATGAGAAAAGATTTGAAAGTGGACTGTGCAGGAGAAGGTATTTAAATGACTGATAAACATAAGAAAAGGTGCTAAATATCATTGTCATAGGCTTGATGCAAATTAAAACCAAAATGAAATACCAACACACAACTACTAGCATACCATTTTTCTTAAACTGGCAATACCAAGTGTAGACAACAGTATGGAACATTGGAAGTATAAATTAATGTGAGTGCTTTGAAAAACTATTTAGCAGTACCTATTAAAATTGAACATATGCATACCTCATGATCCAGCAATCAGATTAGATAACCATATACTCAACAGAAATATGTACTTGTACACCGTATCTGTAGCAGCATTACTCATAAAAACCCCAACTGAAGCAATCAACAGTAGATAAAGCTGTGGTATCCATGCAACCTTATACTATACAACAATGAAAATAAAGTGAATAAATTTTTGCTTTCTCAACACCATAGATGACTCTCAGAAACATAATGTTGAGCAAATGAAATCAGACACAAGTACATTCTTTTATTTCATGCCAATAAAGCTAAAAACCGGAGAAAGCTAAACTATGATGATAGAAGAATAGTGGTTATCTTTGGATAGAAGTAATGATTAGAGGAGAACATAAAGGAGGATTCTAGGGTGAAACAAATGTTTTATTAATCTGGGTGTTGGTTACACAGATGTTCTTACTTTGTAAATATTCTTTAGTGAACATTTATGACTCGTACACTTTTTTTGCATCTGCTATACTTTAGTAAAATGGTTTAAGAAGCTTATCTATGACATCAGAATAGTGATCATATGGAAAACTACCTAACAGGTACTATACTTATTACCTGGGTAACAAAATAATCTGTACACCAAATCCCATGACATGCAATTCACCCATATAACAAGACTGCACATGTATCACCTCAACCTAAAATAAAAGTTGGAAGGAAAGAAAAATAATGATGATAGAAAAAGATAGAATCATGATGTAAGAAGAGAGAGGTTGGAAATTTTCATGGAAAAAGAAAATTGTCAAATGATCAAGAACAGGAAATAGTACAAAGACCTATCTGTCTTAAACCTTCTGGGAACAACAGTTTGGTTCATCCTTTTTCTGTAATTTTATGGTTTTAGTTAATCATGGCCAAAAAGAGAGAGGTGCTTGATTCTCAATCTTTTATCAGTCCTCTTACCATTGAAGAAGTCCTATATCATATTCCATGGCTAGATAAAAACAAAGATTACATAAACTTCATTCAGGTAACACTTTTATTTCCTATTAATATTTTTAATGTACTAACAGTCTTTTTAAAAATAAGAATTTAACCATGATACTCTCTAATGTTCTCTAAATGTTCCTTATTGCCAATAGGATAAAATCAAAATCCTTTTGAATAATATGCAAAACCTTTCTACAATCTGTCTCCTGCCTACTTCTCCACCTTCACCGTCTGTTTTCCACTGTCATATACCCCCTATACTCTATTTATACTGAACCACTTATGGTGTCCAATGCACATTACATGTTTTTCTAATTCCATTTTCAACTGTGGGTGCTATTTACTTTTTTTGAAATGCCCTTATTTTTCACTTTTGTTTTCCAACTTTTCCTGCTTTTTTCTTCTCTGGAAACATCCCCACCAGAGTACTCAGAGAAGTAGGCTTCTTGCCAAATGCCCCACCAGAAGACCATCCTGTGAACTATCCTGATTTCAGAGGACCAATATTGCCACCATTGTATCCAATATATACCTTCATTATAGCATTAAGTACCTTACCATTATAGTAGGAGAGAGACCTAAAGATATTTTGTATCTAATCCGTCTTTTGAATACCCAGCAGCTAGCTCTTTGCATAATGCATAATGCATGCTCAGTTAAGTGCCTGTGGAATGAACAAATAAATGGATCTAACTTGTTCTAACAATAGTCTTTTTAAATATCTATTTGGTATTCAAAAGACCAATTATATTTTTCTTTTTTTTTTTTTTTTTTTTTTGAGACGGAGTTTCGCTCTTGTTACCCAGGCTGGAGTGCAATGGCGCGATCTCGGCTCACCGCAACCTCCGCCTCCTGGGTTCAGGCAATTCTCCTGCCTCAGCCTCCTGAGTAGCTGGGATTACAGGCACGTGCCACCATGCCCAGCTAATTTTTTGTATTTTTAGTAGAGACGGGGTTTCACCATGTTGACCAGGATGGTCTCGATCTCTTGACCTCGTGATCCACCCGCCTCGGCCTCCCAAAGTGCTGGGATTACAGGCTTGAGCCACCGCGCCCGGCCCAATTATATTTTTCTACTTGATTAAAACATTTTGAATAAATGAATATTTTATTTACTTGATCAGCTGTTTAGAGCAGGAGTATGTATGACATATGCATGCCATTTGTCAACATCAGTTCCTATTACCTTTCATCCAGATGAAATATTTTTATCCCCTAATTACATTCTCATTCCTAGATTATTTCTTTTCTAATCCATGTATAAATATCCCATCTAAAATTGCATATATTCATAAACATCCACCTTCCTCTTTACTATTCATAATTCCTATTTTCTCTTACAAACTTATTACTAATATATTTCGGATATTATCAAATGACAGTAATTTTTTAAATGTAAAATCTTTTTTAAGAAATGCAAATTTTAGGCTGGGCACAGTGGCTCACGCCTGTAATCCTAGCACTTTAGGAGGCCAAGGTGGGCAGATCACCTGAGGTCAGGGGTTCAATACCAGCCTGGCCAACATGGTGAAATCCTATCTCTACTAAAAATGCAAGAATTAGCTGGGCATGGTGGCAAGCACCTATAATCCCAGCTACTTGAGATGCTGAGGTAGGAGAATGGCTTGAACCCAGGAGACGAAGGTTGCAGTGAGCTGAGATAGCACCACTGCACTCCATCCTGGGTGACAGAGCGAGACTCTGTCTCAAAATAAATAAATACATACATACATAAATAAAAATGCAAATTTTAATATTCCCAACCACTTCTAAAATGTTGCTTATAGTTTGTGTATTTGGTGGTATCTTTTAGGGAAAAGCCAAAGTTGTAACATATGATTGTGGAAATGATATATTTAAAGAAGGTGATGAGCCCAAAGGAATCTATATCATTATTTCAGGCATGGTAAAGGTAAGGCAGAGTCTCATTTTGTTTGTTTGTTTGTATTTGATACACAGTTTCTCTCTTGTTGCCCAAACTGGAGTGCAATGGCATGATCCTGGTTCACTGCAACCTCTGCCTCCCAGGTTCAAGATATTCTCCCACCTCAGCCTCCTGAGTAGCTGGGATTACAGGCATGCACCAACACACCCAGCTAATTTTTTTTATTTTTAGTAGAAATGGAGTTTCACCAAGTTAGCCAGGCTGGTTTTGAACTCTTCACCTTAGGTGATCTGCCCACCGTGGCCTCCCTAAGTGCTGGGATTACAGGCGTGAGCCACCATGCCCAGCCAGGCAGTTACTTATAAATGAACTTGTGATCATAAGTTTTTAAAGAAAACTTTATGAAATTGATCATTAGTAGCTTTCCATGTTAAGAACTGCATAGTTTCTTTTTTAGAACAGTGACTACCATCTAATGATAAATTTTCACGTTCAGACACAATGGATAACACTATCCATTATTTTTTTAAGCCATACTTTCTCATAGATAACAAGAAACTATCAAAAGAATTATCTTTCACAATGGATAATTTTAATATAAATTGTTATTCATCTTATGCTGATCTAAGTTAGAGATTTAGCCATTCTAAAATGGGTATAGATTAACTGAGTAAGAGAAATCAGAAAGATCAGAGTATTTAAGAATGCTTGGTGCCTAAATCATTGTCAATTTAATAATTTTACTTAAAAAGAAATAAAATATTCTCAAGACAATAGTATTAGAATTGTTAAAACCAAAGTGGAAAAGGTCATAATTAGATAGTTTTGGTAATACAAGTTAACTGACAAATGTATTTTTCTCTTTCTTTGCTCCTGAACAGCTTGAAAGATCAAAGCCAAGTTTGGGGATTGATGAAATGTTGGAGTCAGAGGAGAAAGATTATCCAATAATTAACTATGCACTCAGTGGGGAAATATTAGGAGAGATAAGCTGCTTAACTAATGAACCTATGAAATATTCTGCCAGCTGCAAAACTGTAGTGGAGGTCAGAGAAACTTCACTTGTGACTTTTCTTGCATTTGTTAAATACCTAATATCAGATTTAAGGTATTTTAGTATTTAGTATAAGTTTACAGTCTGGTTGACAAATTACTTTTAAAAACTAGGAATAATAAAGGAACAAAACTTGCTGAATGATACTCATCTAGTATAAAGGCCTGGCAAAACAACTTATAAATGTTAATCAACCACAAAGAAAGAAGGATTTATTCAGAAAAACTGGTTATATAAGCTCTTTTCATGAAATTGGCTGGCATATGTTAACTGTCAGTACCATAATTTGAAAGATGAGAAAGGAGATAAAGACAGAGCTAGAATCTATTAATATAAAAGTTGGGCAAAGTGCATGGAAGTTTCTCTACACATGATTGAGAACAAAATCCTCACAGTACCAAGGGCTCCCACGGACTTAATTTGAACTCAGCTGAGAGACCAGAAAGAATAAACCTTAGGAGTAAGAATTATGACCTAGAAGAAAGCTTGCTCTTACTCTAAGCCTTGGAGCAAGCACTGACATCATCCATGGTGGAGACAGAGTTTGGAGGTTAAGAACCACTAAGTTACCCATTCTTATATACCTAAGGTTTCTACTGATTCACTCAAGCGGATCGTAAAACCCAGCCTATGCAAGCTCAGTGTGATCAGATAGTAAATGAACTGCCTACTATAACAAAAATTAACTATTTTCTGAGGAAGATAAAATAATCTAGAATCTTTGCTCTGTTCAAAAAAAAAAACAAAAATTAAAAAAAAAAAAAAAAAAAAAAGCAAAGAAGCATGAAATTGTGATCTATAGTATAAAAGGTGAGAAGTAAAGCACTGAGTAAAAACCATCCTGGAGATTGCGCAGACTATAGATTGGTCAAAGACTTTAAACCAGTTGTTAAAAATTAATTCTGGTGAAAGGTGGCCCAAATGGCTGACTAGAAGCAGCTGGTGTGCGCCACTCTCACAGAGAGGAATGGAAGGGGCAAGTAAACACAGCACTTTCAAATGAAACATCCAGGTACACACATTGGGACTATTCAAGGAAACAACTCACAGAGAGCAGAGAAAAAAGCAAGGCAGAATAACTACCCACCTAGGAGCGACGCACAGTCAGGGGAGCCTCCCCTGCCCAGGGAAGTGGTGAGTGAATAGGCAAACCCGGGAACCCATGCTTCTCCCATGGATCTTTGCAACCCTCCAGTCAGGAGATCCCCTCATGGACCCACTCCACTAGGGCCTTCAGTCTGACATGCAGAGTTACGTGGAGTCTGGCAGAGTAGCCACTCAGTCACATGTGGAGCCCCAGGAGCCTCAAATACCCAGGCCTCCCGGCAAAAGCAGCTGCAACCCTGAGCAGGAGGTTAGATCCCCACACCTCGGAAAGGGACTGAATCCAGGGGGCTGAGCGATGATGGTCTGCAGGCCCCTCTTCCATGGTACCTCACAGGATAAGACCCACTGGCTTGGAATTCCAGCCAGCCGTGGGTAGCGCCATTGCATCTCCCTGAGGAAGAGCTCCCAGCGGGTGAGGCGGGCCACCATCTTTGCTGTTTCACAGCGTCAGCCACTGTTGCCTTAGGACTCTAATGAATCGGTGGCAACTAGGGACTAGAGCAGCCCCCCAGCACAGCCCAGCAGTTCTACGGGGAAGCAGCCAGACTTCTTATTTATGCAGATCCTACATCCCAGTTCTCCTGACTAGGCAGAATCTCCCAACCGGGTCCTCCAATCATCCCTGCTGGTGTTGGCCGACTGAGTTTCAAACCTCCCTGGTACAGAGCTCCCAGAGGGAGGACAGATCATCATCTTTGCTATTTGGTTGACTTATCTATTCTTGCCTTCGGACTTTGAAGAATCCAAGGCAATTGGAGGCTACAATGGGCCCCTAGCACAGCACAGCTGCTTTATGAAAACATGGCCAGAGTGTTATTTTAAGTACGTCTCCGATCCTATTCCTTTTCACTGGGTGAGACCTGACCGGGGTCTCCAGCTACCTCCTACAGTTGTGTTCAAGTTGGTTTGTACCTCGCTGGGGCAGGGCTCCCCATTTTTGCTGTTTCCCACCCTCCACTCACTGTTGTTACCTTCAGGCACTAGAAAATCCAAGGTGACTAGGGACTGGAGCGGACCCCCAGGATATCGCAACAGCCATACAGAAAAGTGGCCAGACTGTTACTTGGGGGCTTGTTTCCATATGTCCTCACCACGCAGGTCCTCCAGGCCTGGGCCTCCAGCCACCCATTGTCAGGGCTACAGAGCCAGTAGCAGCTCTGCAACTCCATGAACAGAGCTCCCAGTGGGAGCGGGGTTACCATCCTTGCTGTCTTGCAGCCCTTGCCCTTGCTGTCTGCAGGATCCAGAGAGTCTGTGGAGCCAGGGGCTGGTCTGGACCCCAGCAAAGGGCAACCACCTCACAGAAAAGTGGCCAGACTGTTCTCTACGCAGATCCTGATCCTCACTGTTCCTCACTGGGCAGGGCCGCTGACCTGGGACTCTTCACCACAATCAAAAGCCCAGCATTTCTTCAAGGAGGAAATCACAGAGTCAACTCACAACCCCTCCACCACTACAGGTGCAGTGGCTCAGCCCTTAGCCCTGAGACTGGAAAGAAACAAAGGACCTAGTCATTATGCTGGCACCTCCAGCACACTGCAGCCCCATATGGAGAGGAGCTAACACCCTCTTCTCTAGGAACCACCACGCCTACTCTTCACCAGACAGGGTCCTGGGCTCATGAAAGTAGAACAGTTGCTCCACTCACCTGAGCATACCTACTGGTAGTGGCCCAGAGTTTCCCCAGGGAGCGGCTCCTAGAGGCATACGACAGCCCCCCCGCTCTTGGCCCCACCAATGCCACCGTAACAGTTGTATCCCTCCCCTTCATCTGGGGAAGAAACAAAGAGCCTGAGGGCTACACCCAAGCTTACGCATGCCACAGCTACCAGACAGAGGAAAGGCTAATCTCTCCTCCCTGTGAGCTTTTGACCCCGATTCCCACCAAGCAAAACCCCAAGGTCATGACAAGAGTATACACAACCCACCTCTCCAGCTGAACACTACAGTAACAGCAGCTCCACATTTCATGGAGGTAGAGCCTCCCAGGGGCAACAACTTATAGAATGGAAGAAAATGCTTGCAAACTACACATCTGACAAAGGTTTATAAGCCAGAATCTCTAAGAAACTTAACAAGCAAAAAACAACCCCATTAAGAAGTGGGCAAACCATATGAACACACACTTTTCAAAAGACATACACGTGGTTATCAGCATATGAAAAAATGCTGATGATTACTAACCATTTACATTTGAAATACAAATCAAAACCACAATGAGATACCTTCTCACACCAGTCAGAATGGCTATCATTAAAAAGCCAAAAATAACAGATGCTAGTGAGGTTGTGGAGAAAAGAATGCTTATACACTGCTGATGGGAATGTAAATTAGTTCATCCATTGAGGAAAGATTGTTGGCGATTTCTAAAGGAACTTAGAATTACCTTTCAATCAGCAATCTTATTATTCGGTATATACAGAAAGGCATATAAATCATTCTACTATAAAAACACATGTATGTGTATGTTCTTTCCAGCACTATTCACAATAGCAAACACATGGAATCAACCTTAATGCCCATCAACAGTAGGCTAGATAAAGAAAATGTAGTACATACACACCATGGGATAATATGCAACCATAAAAAAATAAGATCATGTCCTTTACAGCAACACAGATGGAGGTAGAGACCATTATCCTTAGCAAACAAACACAGGAACAGAAAAGCAAATACTGAATGTTCTCACTGACAGATGGGAGCTAAACTTTAAGTACATATGGACACAAAAAAGGTAGCAAGAGACACCAGCGTCTACTTGAGAATGGAGTATAGGAGGAGGGTGAGGATCATAAAACTACGTATTATGTACTATTATGCTTATTACCTGGATGATGAAATAATCCATACACCAGATCTCTGTGAAATGTCATTTACATATAACAAGCCTGCACCTGTATCCCCAAACCTAAATGAAAAACATTTTTAAAAAGCACAAATATGTCAAAATTTACTTAAGGACTAGAATTTTTTAGTAGTCCTATACATATTAAGATTTTGGAATTTGTATCCTTCCCACAAAAACAACTCCATGCCACATGGTTCTACTGATTAGTTTTATCAGATGTTTCAGGAAGAAATAATATGAATCTCACACAGACTTTGTCAGGAAACAGAAGACGAAAAAATGCTTTCCAGTGCATTTTACAGGGCCAGTGTAAACAAATACTAAATCTCGAAAAAGCATTTCAGCAAAAGAAAATTACGGACCAATATCCCACATTAACGTGGATACAAAAAATCATTAATAAGATAGCAAGTTGAATCCAGGAATATATTAAAAGCATTAGACATCAAAACTAAATAAATAGGCTTTATTTTAGGAATATAAGATTGATTTGACATTTGAAAATCAACCATTGTGATTCAACACATTCTAAGAAAAAAGCAGAAAATTTATATAAGATATTCAAGTAGATACAGAACAAAAAGAATGTTACAAAATGTAACATTCTTTTAAAAAATCTCTAAAAACCCAGAATAGAATGCAACCTCCTGAACTCAATAAAGGGCATTTATTATAAATTTACAGCTATCGTCACATCCAGTGATGAAAACCTAAGATTATAAGACTGAGAGCAAAACAGGAATGTCCACTCTCACCACTTCTGTTTAGTATTATGTTGGAGTTGTTAGTACAATGGGGCTAGAAAAAGAAAGAAACAGACATAAAAATGACAAAGCACTAAAATTGTCTCTGCAAGATGACATGATAGCTACATTTTCAAGATTCTACCAAAAGGAAAACAACTAGAATTTATACTGAATTTAGTAAGGTGGCAAGATACAAGTCCAAATTCCAAAAATTAATTGTGTTTTCATATACTAGTAACAAACAATTGTAAACAAAAATTTTCATTATTTTTACAAAATAATGTGAAAGGGCTAGTCATAAAGTTAATGAAATACATGGAATAACTCTACAATGAAAACTATAGACTATTTCCTAGATAACTGAGAAAAAGATTAAATAAACCAAGTATACCATATTTGTGGATTAGAGGCTGTAATAAGATATCCATTCTTCCCAAATTGATCTATAGATATAATACAATCTCAATCAAAATCTCAGACTCTTTTTGTAAAATTTATATAAAAATGCAGAGGACCTATAATTGACAAAACAAACATAAAAAAGAATGTTAGATTATTTACACTACCTGATTTAAAGGCACACATCCAATGTAATTAAGGCCACATGGTGTTGGCTTTAGGTTAAGATGTAGAGATCAATGCAACAGAAAAGAGAATCTATAAATCCCACAAAAAAATCATTGTCAATTGATTTTTGACAAAGGATCGAATTATCTCAGTGGAAAAATTACAGTATTTTCTTTCTTTTTTTTTTTTTTTTTTTTTTGAGACGGAGTTTCACTCATGTTACCCAGGCTGGAGTGCAATGGCGCGATCTCAGCTCACCGCAACCTCCGCCTCCTGGGTTCAGGCAATTCTCCTGCCTCAGCCTCCTGAGTAGCTGGGATTACAGGCACGCACCACCATGCCCAGCTAATTTTTTGTATTTTTAGTAGAGACGGGGTTTCACCATGTTGACCAGGATGGTCTCGATCTCTTGACCTCGTGATCCACCTGCCTCGGCCTCCCAAAGTGCTGGGATTACAGGCTTGAGCCACCGTGCCCGGCCTTAAATTACAGTATTTTCAATGAATAACCCTGAAAATAAATCTGAAGATTTCAGGGTTATTCATTGAAAATATTGTAATTTTTCCACAAATACTGAATATTCGTGTAGAAGCAATGAACATTGATCCCCATGTACTAGGCCCAAAACATAATGTAGCATGATCATACAGTTAAAAGTAAAAGATAGAACTGTATAAATTACAGAAGAAAACATAGGAGATCTTAAGGTAGGCAAAGATTTCTTAGCTAGGATTTTTTTAAGTACTAACCATAAAAGGAAATATTGATAAATTGGATGTCACCAAAATTAAAAATCATCTGCTCTTTAAAAGACATCACAAAAAAATATGAACAACAGGCTCAGGGAAAAATATGAGCAACAGGCTGAGGGGTCTTTTCAAAAGTTCCCCAACAAAAGGACTTGATAAAAGTATATATAAAAAACTCATACAACTCAAAAGAAGACAAACTACTGAATTAAAAACTGAGCAAAGAATGTGAACAGACGCTTTACAAAGAATATACAAATGGCCAATAAACACATGAAGATGTTTGCCATCATTAGCTGCTAGAAACATGCAAATTAAACCAACAGTGGTACATTGCCTAAAAATAAAACACAGGGCTCAAGCCTGTAATCCCAGCACTGTGGGAGGCCGAGGCGGGTGGATCACGAGGTCAAGAGATCGAGACCATCCTGGTCAACATGGTGAAACCCCGTCTCTACTAAAAATACAAAAAATTAGCTGGGCATGGTGGCGTGTGCCTGTAATCCCAGCGACTCAGGAGGCAGAGGCAGGAGAATTGCCTGAACCCAGGAGGCGGAGGTTGCGGTGAGCCGAGATCACGCCATTGCACTCCAGCCTGGGTAACAAGAGCAAAACTCCGTCTCAAAAAAATAAAAAATAAAATAAAAACACTGAATAACAAGTATTGGCAAGGAAATGGAGCAACTGAAATTTTCTTTTTTTTCTTTCTTTCTTTTAGAGACAGAGGTTCACTCTGTTGCCCAGGCTGGAGTGCAGTGGCATGATTTCAGCTCACTGTAACTTCCGCAGGATTCAAGTGATTCTCCTGCCTCAGCCTCCCAAGTAGCTAGGTTTACAGGTGCACGCTACCACGCCCAGCTAATTGTTATGTTTTTAGTAGAGACAAGGTTTTACCATGTTGGCCAGGCTGGTCTCGAAATCCTACCTCAAGTGATCCACCCACCTCAGCCACCCAAAGTGCTGGAATTACAGGCATGAGCCACCGCACCCAACTGAAATTTTCATATCATACATGGCTGATGAGAGAGTAAAATGTTGAAACAACTTCTGAAACAGTTATTTTAATTTGAACAGTGGTTTTGGTCTGAAACAGTTTGTCAGTTGCTTACAAAAGTTAAATATATGTCCTATATTAGACAACAATCCCACTTGCAGATACTTACCCAAGAGAAATAAGATCCAATGTACAGAAAACTTGTTTTGACTGTTAATAGAAACTTTGTCCTTAGTAACAAATGTCTGTTCATTTTTAGCATAAGCATTTTATTTTTGCCTAAAAAGTTTGCTCCCTTCAAATAGCATATTTATGAAGGCATATATTTATCTATAAAGGTCAAATAATTTTTAGTAGTTTGTTTTCTATTTTTTTATAAAAAATAAAATGTGTAAGTCAAACATCTGATAATGGGTTTGTATCTAAAATATATAAAGAACTCAAAAACTCAACAGCAAGAAAATAAATAATACAGCCGGGCGCGGTGGCTCAAGCCTGTAATCCCAGCACTTTGGGAGGCCAAGGCGGGTGGATCACGAGGTCAAGAGATCAAGACCATCCTGGTCAACACAGTGAAACCCCGTCTCTACTAAAAATACAAAAAATTGGCTGGGCATGGTGGCGCGTGCCTGTAATCCCAGCTACTCAGGAGGCAGAGGCAGGAGAATTGCCTGAAGCCAGGAGGCGGAGGTTGCGGTGAGCCAAGATCGTGCCATTGCACTCCAGCCTGGGTAACAAGAGCGAAACTCCTTCCCCAAAAATAAATAAATAAATAAATAAATAATACAATTAAAAATAAGCAAAGGATCTGAATAGACATTTCTCAAAATAAGCATGAAAATATCCAACAGGTATATAAAAAATGTTCAAAATCATTAATCATCAGAAAAATGCACATTAAAACTCAATGAGATATCACCTTACACTAGTCAGAAAGGCTATTCGAGTTTCTTGTAAATTCTGGACATTAGGCCATTGTCAGATGCATAGTTTGCAAATATTATCTCACATTCTGCAGGTTTTTTGTTTCTCCCAGTGAACAAATTTTCTGTTCACTTGATTATTTATTTTTTGTGGTACAGAAGTTATTTAGTTCAATTATATTACATTTGTCTATTTTTGTTCTTGCTGCCTGTGCTTTTGAGGTTTTAGTCATGCCTACACCAATGTCCAGAAGAGTTTTCTCTAGGTTTTCTTCCAGTGTATTTATAGTTTGGGGTCTAACATTTAAGTCTTTAAATGTTAGAATATTAATTTTAACATCTTAAGAATTAATATTGTTAAAATGACCACACTGCCCAAAGTAATCTATAGACTGAATGCAATATCTATCAAAATGCCATGATTTTTCACAGAATTAGAAAAAAAAAAAAAACCTAAAATTCATATGGAACCAAAAAAGAGCTCAAATATCCTAAGCAAAAAGAACAAATCTGGGGGAATGATATCACCTAACTTTAAATTATACTACAAAGATAGAATAATCAAAACAGCATGATACTAGTTTAAAAATATATACATAGATCAATGGAACAGAATTTTAAAACCCAGAAATAAAGCCACATTTTACAGCCAACTGATCTTTGACAAAGTCACCAAGAACACAGGGAAAGGACATACCAATTTTCATTGACAGACACAGTTTATTAAGTTTCCAGGCTATTATGTGAATCTTACCTAATTATTAGCTTTAACGGTGTACATAAACAAAAAAACCTTATTCCTTAAACCATAAGTGCAAAATATCAGATTTATATCCTTCTTTTCCAGACATATTTTATTCCCAAAACTCACTTGTATGATGCTTTTGAGCAATGTTCTCCTGTCATTGAACATAAAATGTGGCTAAAAATTGGACTCGTTATTACAGCCAGAAAAATCAGAGAACATTTGTCTTATGAGGTAGGAAGTGCTTGTATAAACTTGTCTTTCTTTGCATGGAATGGCATTAAAACATTATAATTGACTATTTATGAATATATATTAAACTTCATGAACAAATTAGAATAGACTATGAAATTGTTTTTTAAAACAGGATTGGAACTACGAGATGCAACTTAAACTCTCTCATATTTATCTAGAAGACATACCAAAGAGCACCAAAACTGATATCTGTGATGAAAATTTAATCTATGTTATCCTCATACATGGAGCTGTAGAAGATTGTCAGTTACGAAAAATTTATAGAGCACCTTTCTTAATTCCTACCACATGCCATCAGGTAAAGGAATATTGATTCCTTTCTTCAGGGCAATATGCCATATGTCCAACAATGTATTAACATCAGAAAAACTGTCATGATGATCTTAAGCGTTTCACCTTCCAATCTTCTTCCTTCTCCCACCACTCCATAAACACTCATACCCACATCTGCACCCACATACACCCACACACACCAAGTTCATTGATTGCTTTGGCACTTGCTAGCCCAATCACAAACTATTCCCATCCAAAGCCTATGAACAAGGCCAAGCTGGACATTTTGGCTACAGTTAGATGTTTGTACAGTTATTCACTGCAAAAGATGGTGCATTTGTTTTACTCACAAATTGCAGAAAAACTGTATCAACAATGATCTAGAAAGGTTCTGCCAGACTGATGCTGAATTAAGTATTAGTAGTGTTTCCACAGCTACTTTGAAAGTGATTGTCTTCTCATGTTTAAACTGTTAATTGAGTTTCCCTGCCAATCAAAATGGGAACCTGAGCCATATGAAGAAGGAAAGAAGACTTCATGTGTGTGTATGTGTTTATTTTGTGTTGGGGGAGAATCAGAGAGGCACATGTCAAAAGGAATCGGGTACATAAAAGATACAGCTACAAAAAGTAAATTTAAAGAGGACTCAGAGTTACTTAAAATATGCTTAGATATATTTAAGCAACTAATATATGGCAGAAATAGTGCTATATATTGAAATGATAAAGAAAAATGATACAACCTATCCTCAAGAGATCTCTCAACCAAGTGGAAAGAAACATGTAAGCAAATATATTAATAAAATGTTTTACAGCTAGGATGAAAGCACTTACAGGGTAGATTTTGGACACAAGAAAAAAGTGAAATGGAGATTTTTCCCAAGGTGAAAATTATCACAAGACAATTTTCTAAGTGGACATCATCAGCACTGACATAATGCTTAATGACAGGAAGTGAAACATTCTCCACTATGCTGCTCCCTACCTCTATCCTTGAACACATAACAGAGATTTGGTGTGGGTGCTTGTTGAGAATTTAGACCGCCAAGCGAGAGCCTGAAGGCTGATAAACTCTATCTACTTCCCTAGACATAGAGCCCTACTCATTGTGGATTTGGGTACCAATGTGATTCAAACTATGCTGAAAACAACCACAAGGTGGAAGAATATTTTGAAATATTTCTATATGGCAGAAAGAAAGTTTAATGAAAAGAACATTTTCAAATACTCTCTTCATTAAACTTTCTTTCTGCCATATAGAAAAAAATCTCTGGTTGATTTTTAAAGGGCCATTGGTGATTTATTTCCTTCCTTCCTTCCTTCTTTCCTTCTTTCTTTCTCTCTCCTTCCTTCCTTCCTTCTTTCCTTCTTTCTTTCTCTCTCTCCTTCCTTCCTTCCTTCCTTCTTTCCTTCCTTCCTTCCTTCCTTCCTTCCTTCCCTCTTTCCCTCCTTCCCTCTTTCCCTCCTTCCCTTTTTCTTTCATGGAGTCTTACTCTGTTGCCAGGCTGGAGTGCAATGACACAATCACAGCTCACTGCAACCTCCACCTCCCTGGTTCAAGCAACTCTCCTGCCTCAGCCTCCTGAGTAGCTGGGACTACAGGCACGCACCACCATACCCAGCTAATTTTTGTATTGTTAGTAGAGAATGTTTCACCATGTTGACCAGGATAGTCTCAATCTCCCGACCTCGTGATCCACCTGCCTCAGCCTCCTAAAGTGCTGGGATTACAGGCATGAGCCATCGCGCCCAGCCTGGTGATTCATTCTTAATTATTTTATTCCATATTGAATAGAAATATTTAAAATTCAATGAATGTATATGGAATATTGACTTTCACAAAACTAACATATCCAGGTATTTTAAGATACCAATCATATTTGTGTTGATTTTTACTATTTCCCATTTTCCCCAGATATTTAGAGAAAGCCAGAAATTTAGCTTACTAGAGAAATTTTTAATTGTAGGATATTTGCTCAGAAATTAATCTGCTTTCTGTCAACTTTCAGATACAAGGTACGGAAGATTTCACAAAAGTAATGATTATTCAAACTTCAATTAATATGAAACCAAGCAGATGGAATACTAGAAAGTTTATTTCTAAACATAAAACTTCTCTTATACCAGAATTACGTGAGTTAGATTTCTTTGAGCAATTGTGAGAACTTACTTTCCCTTTATAAAATAGCCATATGCGTATTTGGAAACTGTTGTTTGCATTCTGCCTAATGTATTGAGGAATCCTTTTATATTTGCTACTCAATGTATGAGGTCAGACAGACAATGCTGAAGTTATACTTTTAAATTATTATTATATATTTCATTCATAAGAAAACTGCATAATTATCAAAACAATATTAAAAAAAGATTAATGAGGAAATTACTAGCTCTTCCCCAAAATTAAGATATGCTATATAGCAGTAATAATAAAAACAGCATTGTAGTGTCTGACCAACAAACATAAATCACTTAAACTAGATGAGTAACTTTAATATAAAGCCTATTTTTCATACAAATTTTAATAGATAAAACTTTAGTCATAACATACGATTAATCACTACTATTAAGCCCTTGATTAAAATTTGATAAATATATTTGAGATAAATTTTAAAATTCAATAAATAATTATTGAATAAGTAATAATAGAATTTAATTGATCGATTCACTAAAGGAGAAATATGGTACAAAATTTAGAAATACAGAAATTCATTTTAAAATCTTGTGTCTATAAAAATATCACCAATCAAGAGATAAACCAAAGACAATTCACAGATGAAAACTTGCATTGAAAATACAATGTGGAAAATTATTTAATGTTGGTAATATTTACAGAAACAAACTACATATTTGGTAGATTTAATTTGTGAAATTTTATAAGATATAATACCTCTCAACCAAAAGAAATGTAGTGAATCTGATATATATTCTTACTTTATTAATAGCAGTGTAAACTGAGAAAGTAAATTTATCAGAAGATTCCAAAAGCCATAAGTGTTTATATCCTTTGATTAAATATCTAAATATTTAGATAAATATGTCTAAATGTTTATCCTAAAGATATAAAGCAAAAAAAATTATAATTGAGCATTATTTATAAAAGAAATAATCAAAATGTATAAAAATAAATGGTTAATTAAATCAATATAATAGTCAACACGATTGACTGTTATATAAGCATTAAAAATTTGACTTTCCATATCATAATTTTTGAAAAACCAGTGATACAAGGAGGTAAATAGCAGACACTGGGGTCTACTTGAGGGGGGAGGATGGGAGGAAGGAGAGGAGCAGAAAAACTGTTGGGTACTAGGCCGAATACCTGGATGATGAAATAATATATACAAAAACTTCTGTGACAATGTGTTTACCTATGTAACAAACCCTTCACATGTACCCCCAAATCTAAACAAAAAGTTAAAGAAAAACCAGTGATATATGTCAAGTGAAAATATCCAGAAAATAACATTATATTACTAATTTAAATGAATTTAATCTTTATTATGTATAATCATAAAACTTTGCATCTATGTGGACACAAATACTGTCATTGTATGGGTCTCCACTAGCCTTAAGATTAAGCATATGCAGAGTGGCATAACCAAGACAACGGAATAGAAGGTAATCCATTCATATATTCCACAACAACAACAAAAAATTCTACACCCATACATGGTCCAAAGCCACTCTGCAGGAGCCTCAAAATTTAGGTAGGAGTTTGTGAATTCTTCATGTAGCTCACAACCTGGGAGCATCATTCTAAGAATGCAGATTGACTTTAGGTAGCTGATACTACAAGCTTGCTCCCACATTCAAGTCCTGAAATTGTCCTGTCCTCCAAGAGGCTTGTCTCCTTCATTTGGTCTTGAGCCTGCAACCAAAACCATCTGCCAAGGGATCCAAGAGGTATGCATACTAGTGACTTGGCAGGGAAACTCATCTTCCTGCTGACATCTATCTCAGTGGCAAACCTGAAAGTTTCCCTGTGGCTTGGCTTCAGCCACTGTCAGCTGAGATCCCAGCTCAGAGCTGCTCATACAATGATCCAGAGGGAGAATCACCCATATCACATAGCTTGGGAGTCTGAGCCTCCCTGACAGGACTGTCAACTTCCAACTCACAGCAGATCCTGATGGCACCATGTATCGGGTCTGGCTCCTCCTACTGCAATCAGTAAACTATCCCATCTCTGCTGAAACCTGCAAGGCATGCCCCTCTGAAGCAATAAGACTCTATAGCTGGGCTGGGCGCGGTGGCTCAAGCCTGTAATCCCAGCACTGTGGGAGGCCGAGGCGGGTGGATCACGAGGTCAAGAGATCGAGACCATCCTGGTCAACATGGTGAAACTCTGTCTCTACTAAAAATACAAAAAATTAGCTGGGCATAGTGGCGCGTGCCTGTAATCCCAGCGACTCAGGAGGCTGGGGCCGGAGAATTGCCTGAACCCGGGAGATGGAGGTTGCGGTGAGCCGAGATAGCGCCATTGCACTCCAGCCTGGGTAATAAAAGCAAAACTCCGTCTCAAAAAAAAAAAAAAAGACTCTCTAGCCTCTGTCCCACAGCAGATCCCAAATCAACCCAATCTTAGCTCCAGGCCTTCCTGCTGCAGTAAGGGAACTAGCCCATCTGTGCAGGGACCTACTAGGAGATACACACCTATCTGAGCTGATGTGACAGGCATGCCAGCCTCCATCTCACAGCAGATCCCCAAAGGGCTCTGTCTCAACTTTGTCCCTTCCTGCTGCATCAGGGAGCTATCCTATCTTTGCTGGGTAATATGCACTCCTCTGAAGAAAGACTGAGCTCTTCTCCCTGTCCCACAGCAGATCCTGAGGAGACTCTCTCAGCTCTGGCTTCTCCAGCTACAATCAAGGAACTGCTTGTGCAGGGACCTGCTGGGTGATGCATGCCCATCTAGGCCAACAATACAGGCCCATAAGCCTCCTTTCTCTGGCAGATCCCAAGGTGGTCCAGCCTCAACTTCAACCCCTCTCACTGTAGTAGGGGACCCAACATACCCATGTAGAGATGGGCAGGGACTCACACCCATCTAGTCCATTGTGACAGTCTTCTGGAATCAGATTCCAGACCAGCACTCCCACACAACCTTAGGACCCTCCTGGGGTCTTCCCCAGGGCCATCTGGGCCTTAAAACCACAACAACTTTGAAGTGCTTGTGAGAATCATGGTAAGCCTGGACTTAAGGCATCCTCTAGTGCTAAGAGGACTGCAGTGATCACAGATTCAGGTAACTAAACAGGTCTGCCAGAATCCATGGAAGGCTCTTGAAAGACAGACAGGGACAGGCAAAGGCCAACCTGTAGAGACTAACATAAATAATCCCTCAATGCACATGTTCACAATTATCAAGAATATTTAGAGAAATATGACCTCACCAAATGCACAAAATAAGGTATCAGAGACTAACTCCAAAGTGATAGAGACGTGTGATCTCTCAAAGAATTTTAAAAAAAACGTTTCAAGAAAAGTCTCTGAACTTCAAGAAAACACAGAATGAATTCAGAAATTTATCCATGAAATTTAACAGAGATCAAAATTTAAAAAAAAATAAATCCTAAGGCTGAAAAATAAACGTAATTAATGAAATAAAAAAATGAAATAGCATCAACAGCAGAATTGATCAAACAGAAGTAATCAGTGAACTCAAAGACAGTCTAGTTGAAAATACAGTCAGAGGAAAAGAATAAAAATGAATAAAGAAATCTTACAAGATCTAGGTGACAATATCAAAAGAGCAACTATTTGGGTTATTGAAGTAAAAAAGGGAACTGAGAAAGAAAAAAGTGTATAAAGCTTGTTTTAATAAGTAATAACAGAAAAGTTTACAATCCTGGACAAGGAGATAAATATCTAGACACAAAAAGATTAAAAGTCCTCAATCAGATTTAACTCAAATAAGAATACACCAAGACATAATTACATACTCAAAAGTCAAAGATAAGGCTGGGCGCGGTGGCTCAAGCCTGTAATCCCAGCACTTTGGGAGGCCGAGGCGGGTGGGTCACGAGGTCAAGAGATCGAGACCATCCTGGCCAACATGGTGAAACCCCGTCTCTACTAAAAATACAAAAAATTAGCTGGGCATGGTGGCGCGTGCCTGTAATCCCAGTGACTCAGGAGGCTGGGGCAGGAGAATTGCCTAAACCCGGGAGGCGGAGGTTGCGGTGAGCCGAGATCGCGCCATTGCACTCCAGCCTGGAAAAAAAGAACAAAACTCCGTCTCAAAAAAAAAAAAAAAAAAAAAAAGTCAAAGATAAAGAAAGAAAAAGGGATTTTCGAGCAAAAGCAATAAGAGAAAAAAGAAGGAAATAATATGTAAGGAAAATCCAATAGGCCTTGAAGCAGACTTCTCAACAGAAATCTTACAGGCCAGGAGGAGTAGAAAGATATACTCAAAGTGCTGAAGGAAAAAAACAAAATCTGCCAAGCAAAAATACAGTACCCAGAAAAGCTAGATTTCAGAAAGAAAGGATAAATAATGACTTTCTTTTTTTTTTTTTTTTGAGATGGAGTTTCGCTCTTGTTACCCAGGCTGGAGTGCAATGGCGCGATCTCGGCTCACCGCAACCTCCGCCTCCTGGGTTCAGGCAATTCTCCTGCCCCAGCCTCCTGAGTAGCTGGGATTACAGGCACATGCCACCATGCCCAGCTAATTTTTTGTATTTTTAGTAGAGACGGAGTTTCACCATGTTGACCAGGATGGTCTCGATCTCTTGACCTCGTGATCCACCCGCCTCAGCCTCCCAAAGTGCTGGGATTATAGGCTTGAGCCACCGCGCCCGGCCAATAATGACTTTCTTAAACAAAAAAAAATAAGGTTGAGGGGATCTGTCACTACCAGACCTGTCCTATAGGAAATGCTAAAGGGAATTCTTCAAATGGAAAGAAAATTGATATCAATGTGATTGTTACACTAATATGGTAATCATGGTATGTGAATCACTTATATCCCTCCTAAGAAGACTAAAAGACAAAATATTTAAAATAATACTAACTACAACAATTTTAAAGAGATAAGCAATATAAAAATGCATATTGTGACATTAAAAATCAAAATATGGGGTAAGAAGGGAATTAATGTATACAGATGTTTTTGTGCGTTTGTTTCTTTTTTTTCAAAGTTGGTATTAGTTTTAAATAACTT